AAAACGCCACCTCCATCCTCATTGCCGTCGTCATCACCGCGCTCTACGCCGTCGTGTGCGTCGTGGGGCTCCTGGGCAACGTGCTCGTCATGTACGGCATCGTCAGGTGAGAGCGGGACACCCTGGCCACCCCGGGGGGACGTGGCCCATGGCCTGCTGTCACCTGCCTTTGCATCGGGGAGGGTGCGTGGGGGTGGCTGCGAATTGGGCTAGCTGGGTGAGTGTGCGCTAGGAGTGAGCGCTCTACGCCGTCGTGTGCGTCGTGGGGCTCCTGGGCAACGTGCTCGTCATGTACGGCATCGTCAGGTGAGAGCGGGACACCCTGGCCACCCCGGGGGGACGTGGCCCATGGCCTGCTGTCACCTGCCTTTGCATCGGGGAGGGTGCGTGGGGGTGGCTGCGAATTGGGCTAGCTGGGTGAGTGTGCGCTAGGAGTGAGTGTGCAAGGGTGCGAGATAGCGCCTGGAGCGAGTGTGCAATGAGGGTGAGTGTGCACTGCATGCAAGAGAGCAGCAGGAGCGCAGCAGGAGTGAGTGTGCACCACGTGCAAGACAGCACGGGGATGAGCGTGCACTGGGGTGAGCATGCACCAGCGTGAGCTTGCAGGGAGGTGAGTGCACACTCGGGTGAGTGTGCTCTGGGATGAGCATTTACCACGTGTGAGACCGTGACAGAGGGCCGGTGGGTGAGCCTGGGTGTCCATGAGCTCAGGTAGCCCTGAGCTGCGTGTGTGCGCAGGGAGAGCATGCGGCATGCGCGTGCATGGCGTGCAAGGGCATGGCATGCATGTGAGCGAGGAAAAGCTGCCTGTCCTTCTGGGGCTAAAAGCTCAGAAAAGAAGATAAAAACATGTGTGCATGGGGCAGGGCAGGAACCGGCTCTGTCACCGGGACCTGATGGTCTCCGAGAGAGAGTTACTGAATCTCATTGGATTCGTGGCAGCAGCTCCTGTCAGCCATCGGACTCCAGATTTTCCCTAACAAAGAGCAGGGACTGACACAGCCCACTGGCACCTGAAGCTGATGCCACCCCCTGGGCACCCTGTACTGGTTCTATCAACCACCTCAGGAGTCCTTGGGTGTCCAGTCCCCACTCCCACCAAAGCCCTTCGGGGACGGTCACCCTGAAGCCTCAGGGCTGCATGGTGACACCCACACACTCGTGTTTCAGTGGGAATTGCCATCCTGGATTCCCCGACCAGCAGCTCCAAGTTGCATTTTTTAGTCTCTTTGCAATGAGGAAGAGGGGGACAGATGGATGGGCAGCAGGGTGGACATGCCCTCACCCTACCTGCGATTTTTGCATCAGCTTCGAAACCAGCCCCAGACAGAAAATTAAATGGAAGGAGTCGGTCCGGAGCGCTGGCCGTGCCGTAACAGGCTGCCTTTGCACGGCCTGAGGTCCCGCAGCAGTCGCAGCCACATGTGCATCCCATCTCCATGGTTTCTGGCCCCCCGGTCTCCAACCTGATGCTGCAAGTTCTGCGGGTGCGCTGCGAAGTTGAGCGCGCGCCTCCGTGTGCGCCTCCGTGTGCCTCCGTGTGCCTCCGTGTGCCTCCATGCGCCTCCGTGTGCCTCCGTGCGCCGGCCCGGGGCCGCTCGGGAGCACGCAGGGAGGCTGGAGGGGAGCGCAGCTCCAGCTCGGAGCTCTCCGCCCAGGAGCCGCTGTTGGTCTGTGTCCCTTGGGACACCTCCTGGGCCCTGGGGAGCCTTGGCGGAGCGCACGGGCAGCCGGACGGAGCGGGTCCCCCTGGGCTTGGGGACCCAAGGGACATGCTGGGATGAGCATGCTGCAAAGCCTGGATCCACGATCCCCTTGGAGCCGCATCTATCCCCACATGTCCCCATGGGCTCATGCCAGCCGTGGAGACCCCTTTGCCGTGCCGGGTGCCCTGAGCCAGGCTCCTTAACCCCAAGCTGGCTGCTTTAAGCATTCCCAGAATTTTTCCACTAATTTTCTTCCCCATTCACTTATTTTGCAAGCGGTGCAGCCTTTCAGATGCACCCCAAGGCCTCAGATCTGGAGGGGCCAAATCACAGCATCCCCCCACGGCTGCCCTCGCCTGGGAGGGGACACAGGCTCCAGCCCCTGGCACAGCTGGCAGAGGGATGCGGAATTGCTTAGACAGCAGCAGCGGCAGCGCTGGCCCCATCCCCAGCCTCCCCACTGCCAGCACCCAAGGAAACAAAGCAGACATCAAAGCACTGTAAATGCTACAAAAAAAAAAAAGTCTATTTTTAACCAAGAGGAGCCAGAGACCTAAAAACACCAAAAATATCTCAAGATTTTGGGTTTGCCCAGAATGAAAATTTTCCATATGCTTTCAAGATGGAAGCATCTTTTACCATCGTGCTCCCCTCAGTTTATTGCACATACCCAGCCTGTTTCCACCCAATTTATTGCACATCCCCCACACAGAGGAGCCAGAGACCTAAAAACACCAAAAATATCTCAAGATTTTGGGTTTGCCCAGAATGAAAATTTTCCATATGCTTTCAAGATGGAAGCATCTTTTACCATCGTGCTCCCCTCAGTTTATTGCACATACCCAGCCTGTTTCCACCCAATTTATTGCACATCCCCCACACAACCTACGAGCCGAGGCCAACATATTTCAACGCAGCAGCAGCCGGGTCAATTCCCCCGGTGCTGGGCACAACCCTGGGCACAACCCTGGGCACAACCCTGGGCACCGTGACACAATTGGCCACCCCTGCCCACGGCCGAGCCCTCCAGCGCCGGCCCTGGGGACGCTCCCAGCAGGTTCATCCATGCAAGGAGATGTCCTGATGCAGTTGCTAATTCCGGAGCTGCCCGGGATGCTCGGAGCCGTCTGGGATGCTCGGAGGTGGGACTCGCTGGAAGGAGTTAAGCCAGAGGCGCTCCAGGCTGGCCCGCCGTGCTGCTTCCAGATGGCCGGCACTTCCGGGGCTAATCGATCCAATTTCTGTGAGCAACCTTGATAGGGAAGCAGGCTGGATAATCACGATTTACTGGATGGAAAATCAGATACAGTTTCAGGGAGGTAAAGGGCACCATGCAACTTGCTCAGGGAAATGGAGTAAATCAATTTAATTGAGAAAGAGAGACTTCTCCCTTCAGGTTGCCTTTGTGCTCTGAGTAAAGGAGCTGCAGGAATGACCAGCGCCTCCCTGGTCAGGTTGTGGGTGAGACCTTGAGAAGGCCTGAGCACGTCCTACAGGCTGGGATCAGGGTCCCAGCACTTGGGGTGCACAAGAGTGTGACCCCATCGCCGGGATGCGCGTGGATGTGCATGGTGAGCCCGCCCTGAGCACGCGTAACGGCCCCCTTCTCGGCTACCCCCCAGGTACACCAAGATGAAAACAGCCACCAACATCTACATCTTCAACCTGGCGCTGGCGGACGCGCTGGCCACCAGCACGCTGCCCTTCCAGAGCGCCAAGTACCTGATGGAGACATGGCCCTTCGGGGAGCTGCTCTGCAAAGTCGTGCTGTCCATCGACTACTACAACATGTTCACTAGCATCTTCACCCTCACCATGATGAGCGTGGACCGCTACATCGCTGTGTGCCACCCGGTCAAGGCCCTGGATTTCCGCACGCCGGCCAAGGCCAAGATCATCAACGTGTGCATCTGGGTGCTCTCCTCTGTCGTCGGGGTGCCCATCATGGTCATGGCGGTCACCAAGACGAAAGGCAAGTGGCTTTTGGGGATGGGGCCCCATCTGTCTATGCCAGGGGTGATGCCTTGACCAGACCCTCATGGCAAAGCAAAGACACCTGGTCCTGGAGCAGGTTGGAGCTCGGTGATGGGCACCCCTCCATGTAGCAGCATGAATGGTCTGCCAAGTAAAAATCACCACAGTGTCATTTTTTAAGAGAATTTCATAGTATTCTCTCTGTTTTAATCCCTCTTTGATCATCTTCTCTCCTGCAGATGGGATGGTGCTGTGCACTCTCCAGTTTCCTGATCCTCCCGTCTACTGGGACACCGTGACCAAGATCTGCGTCTTCATCTTTGCCTTCATGGTGCCCATCTTGGTCATCACAAACTGCTACGGGCTCATG